CCTTGGACCAATTGGGGATTTCAAAGACATTGAATCAGATGGGTATTTGGTAGAAGCTTTAATTCAATTGTGGGATTCCGATGGTTCAACATTTCGGATAGGAAACAAGGAGTTGACTCCGACCATTGAAGAGGTAGCCGGTCTTCTGAATTTGCCAGTAAAGGATACATCAGTGATATTTCCGATTGCTTCTGGCAAGATTGAATTCTGTCATTTTGCTGGATTAAAAGAGTCTGTAGTGCAAGGATCAGATCAGAGCATAGATGTAAAATTTTTGTTTGACAGATTCGCAATGAAAGATGGGTTTGATAAGTATTCGAAGGATTTTTCATTTACATCTAAGGTAACATGGGAATGTAAGAGGCCGCTGGTGTATGGACTTGTGATGGCGGGGATTTATTTGTTTCCTAGAAAAGATAAGAAAATTGGTTTCAAAATCACTAAACTCCTGTCTGACTTGTTTTTTGGAATTAAGGATCGACAAGCCTCTATAGTACCGACTGTGTTAGCTGACATTTTTGTTGCGTGTACCAACTGCCAAAGGGGGTCAAAGTTCTTTTATGGATCAAATCGAATTTTGCATATATGGGCCATGGAACATTTTCGAAGACAGTTGCCTGCTCTTGATGGTCTGCCATTGATTGGGTATAATTGGATCTCTACCCATCATAAGAGAGTTGACCAAAGTAATTTGCCAAGAAGTGCATCGGAATGGCTGGACTTTTTGAGGGTATTGTCAGATCAAAAGATTAGATGGGTACTAGACTGGACCGACTGTTTTAACCCTGTTCTGCGCGCCAAGTCATCAGATTTGATACCGTTATTGGGAACTCAAGACATCATGGCATACACTCCGAAAAGGTTTCTCAGACAGTTAGGACGCATTCAAGGAGTACCACTCACACCTGACTTGACCGATTTCACCATCAGTTTTGGCAAGGGGATCTGTCCAGACAAAATTCCGATGAAAGTATCAATTGTCGAAGCTTGGGAAACGCTGTCCGATGATGAGGATATCGCTTATGTTCCGCAACTTAAACAGATGGCTTTGGTTACCCCCTCAATACGAGGAGTGGCTCAGAGAATCTGGTGCTGGGCGACCATTGATGGAACAGTCCGAGGAAGTCAAGAAACTAATGGCAATCATTGAGGCGAAAGACACAGAAAATGCACAATTAAGGCAATCTGTGGAAGTGAATAAGGGTCTAGCAGAGAAGAATAAAAGACTGTGTGAAGAAATGCAAGAAAGACACCAGGAATTGAAGAGAAAGTGTGGCAAGTTGTATGATCAAACTGAACGCATGCAGAATCCCTATTCCAGAGAGCCAAAAGATGCTGTGATAGATAGATTGAAAAAGTTTAATGATCTTGTACGAAATCAACTTCGAGAAATGATGTAGATGATGTATGATATTTTGAAATCCATCAATGAAATGATCCTTATCTGTTGCAAAGTTATTTTTCGAAACACAGGTTTGATAAACAGGTCTCACTTCGAAGGTGTTGCATCATGTTAGGCCTACCCTTGGCAGAAAAGGGCTCCCCCATAGGACATGCATCCGAATTATTTAGATATCTACTAACTCATGTTTCTTTTCTTTTCTTTCTTTTTTCTTTTTCTTGAATAAATCACAGCAATTTGACAGAAAATCCAATCCTAAATGAGTTTCTTTTCTCCAGTATCAGGTATTTTTCACAATTGCTACCCAAAGAAGCCCCATCATCACCAGGTCCCGAAGTAGAGCCTTGAGACAGTCTGTAAACATAAGTTCAGCACCTGAAGCTTCGGAAAGATCTGCTATGGTTACATCACCGGACTTCACAGCATTGGGAGCTCAGTTAAGTGAGGTACTTGCCAAGTTCAATGAGTTAAGTGCTGAAATGGCCGCACAAAAGCGTGTAATTGATCAGTTGGTCGCCAGCAACAATGGTGGTGGTGTCCCAAACGACCAAGAACCTATCGATAATCACCCACCTGCACAAGACTATCAACCACCCCACACATCCAATACCCAAACACCTTTCTTTCCTCCTTTCGCTAACCCTGTTGAAAATACCTTTGCCCGATTAAATTCAGACTTTTCCTATATGCATCCGAATTATGTATTGGTGAACCCAACCAGTAGTCAAATCCCTCAAACTCATCCACAAACCAATCTGAACATCCCCCCAACCCTCAGGGACCCCACCACCATACTGCAGAGCCTTTTGTACTGGATACTGCATCTCAAGGGAAGGCGGTGATAGAAGAACAGCCTATACCCATTGACAAAGATCTGTTAAGAAGGTTGGATCGATTCGATGATTTTATGAGAAAGAATCAAGGATTGAGCAGGCATGGTGGGTTAGATTACGATGAATTGTGTCTTTTCCCGGATATTCAGCTACCGTTGGGATTCAAAACCCCTAAATTCAGCAAGTATGATGGAACTGGAAATCCAAAGACGCACCTCAAGATGTTTGCCAACAAGTTAGGTAAACCTGTGGATGATGAGAATTTGCCTATGCGTCTATTTCCGAAAAGTTTGGAGGGAGATGCTCTAGATTGGTATTCAAATTTGAAGTCTGGAGAAGTCAAGACCTGGTTGGATCTATCAACTGCTTTTGTGAAGCAGTATGAATTTAACTGTGAGTTGGCACCAACACGAACCACACTGGAGGGTACGAAAAGAAAGCCGTCAGAGGATCACAAGACGTACGCAAAACGGTGGAGAAAGTTAGCTGCCAAAGTGGAGCCTCCTATGATCGAGGAGGAGATTGTTCGCACTTTCATCAAGGCCCACGATCCACCTTATTTTGAAGAGATCTTCCGCATGACTGGAAGTCCATTTGCTGCTATCATTAACAAATTGGAGGAGTATGATGAATTTGTCAAAGCAGGGAAGATTGTTAATGTGTCTGCATTAAAGTTGCAATTGGATGCTCTACAAAATCAAAACAACAATGGAAAAAAGCCCCCATTCAGAAAGAAAGAAGGTGATACTGCTTTTGTATGGGATCAAGGCCCGTCTTTCAGACCCAAAAATCATCCCACCTATTCTTTTCTTTACCCGTATTACACCAATCCTCAACCAGTCTACCACACCACTACCCAATTCCATCATTCCCGACCAAATCATTTGAATACCTCGCCCTTACCTCCAACTCCACAATCTGTTTTTCAAAATCACTCTCGTCCCATTTACCATTCCAGACCAACCCTGCAAAACAATAACCCTTCTCAAAATCCTTTGCAAACCAATGGAATTCAAACTCAGAAGCAATTTCGAACATTCACCAACTTGGGCCGACCTATTGATCAGTTGTATGAGCAATTAAAAGCAACTGGAAAAATTGGCGCTGTTCCTCCCAAAATCTATCATAGAGGTCCCCCTGCCGGTTATGATCCGCATGCAATCTGTGCTTATCATTCTGGAAGTCCAGGTCATACCACTGGCAATTGTTGGGCTTTAAAACATAGGATTCAGGACATGATTGACTCTGGAGACATCCTTCTCAGAAGAAAGGGAGAGCAGGGACCGAATGTTAGTAAGAATCCTCTACCTGAGCATGGGAGCACTGTGGGGGTTATCATCGCTGATGAAGACTTTAACGACCCCAGTCAGTACATTGTAGATGAAACTGAAGTATTTGGCGTGATGGAGACTGACCATGCGGAGATGAGGAAACTACTGTCTGTTGAAGAGTCCATAACTAAGGATAGTGCTGAAGAAAAGTTAAAATCTTTTGTGTTTGAGAAAGAGGAGCCGTTTATGGTAGAAGGAGGGCCTTCCGAAGTTAACAATTCCGAGGTTCCTTTTATTTTGGATCTTCTATCTTTTGAATGGGATATATCAGAGCCTGCTATTCTCGAATTTTCAGAGCAAATGCCTGTCAATAACTTGCAAGATGTACCATGGAACTACGAGGAGCCCAGTCTGTTAATTGGAGGTAAAGATTGCTTTAAGGAAGATATATCTACTATTACTAGATCTGGGAAAATTGTGGGAAACTCCGATGTTCAATCCTGGGCCAAGGTTAAATCTCCGACACCCAAGCCTCATGTGTCTGAAAATGAAGCTGTAGATTTTCTGAAGATGCTAAAAAGAAGCGAGTACAAAATAGTGGAGCAGTTGGATAGGATGCCTGCTTAGATTTCTTTTCTGAATCTTCTCTTGACTTCCGAGCTGCACAGAGAAGCATTGCTCAAAATTCTGAACGAAGCTCAAGTCCCTAAAGATATTCCGGTGGATAAATTTTCTAACATTGTGGGGAATGTACTTGCTGCTAATCATATTACCTTCTCCGATGATGATCTGACTGCAGAAGGGATCGGGCATAACAGAGCTTTGTATATATCGGTCCGTTGCAATGGAAAGCTGTTGCCGAGGGTTTTAGTGGATAATGGGTCAGCGTTGAATATCTGTCCATGGAACACTCTCACCAAACTTGGATTTCGTGATATTAAACTCCGTCCATCTGCAACTGTGGTTCGAGGATTTGATGGTTCAAGGAGGGAATCTATGGGTGAAGCAGATCTGGTATTGGAGATAGGCCCTGCTCAATTCCAAGTTACTTGCCAAGTCATGGATTTCTCCAGTGTTTACAACATTTTACTTGGAAGACCTTGGATACATGTTTCCAATTCAGTGCAATCTTCTCTGCATCAAATGTTGAGATTTATTATGAATGATCAGCTCATTACTGTATTTGCTGAGGATGACTGTACCATGATCATTGATGCAAAATTCAAAGGCGAAGACAGAAAAGGGACTCCAATTTCATCTCATCATGTTGCTGACATAGTCTCTGTAGGTTGGGCATCTAGGGATAAGTCGTTGACTCAATCAGATTTGCCAGAGGCCAGTATTATGATGGCGAGAGAGATGATCTGAGGCGGATATGAAATAGGAAGAGGTCTTGGGCGAGAATTGCAAGGAATTTTGGAGCCGATAGAGATCCCTACGCAAAAGGATACATTTGGACTGGGATTTCATCCGACTGCTAAGGACAGAAGGGAAATGCAAGCTCGAAAACAAGCTGAAAAGAAGGGCAAGCAAATTGCCTTAAATATCCCACCGCTACATCACACTTTTCCTCGTCCATCAGAAGTGATTATGCCAGAAATGAAGAATCCTGTGGAAGAGATTGAACTGGACCTGTCTCAATTATTTGTCGGGGCCACTTGTGAGGAGGAGCCATTGGAGAATGCAGAATTTTTGCCAATTACCGAAGGAACTATTCAGAATTGGACTGCTGATTATCTTTCCTCTCGAAGGGAATTTCGGTAAATTTAAGGGGATTGTCTTTTGTCTAGATCACATCCAGATAGGACAGTAGTCTGGATCTTTTGTTAAAAGAAATTGCTTTCATCTTTTAAACTTTTATTCTTGTTTCAGCTAATATAACTTGTTTTGTTCAAGAAAATTGCTGAAACGAAAATAAAGGTTTGGGTTAAATATGTCTTTAAATAGCAATCATGGCTGTATATTCATCTTTTTGTGAAGTCTCGATGCATTTTGGATTTAATGAAATGAAAGACTTCTCCAGTATTTGCTATTTATTTATTACTTATGTTCTATTCTATTTTCAGATGGCCACAAATAAAATCCTTTGACCCCTTGGATGTCACCATTTTGGAATTCGATGGCTGCAATCTCGATATCTCTCATGAACTTGAAATCATGCAATCTGAAATTCAAAGCGAGAGCGATACTGAGGAAGAATTTGAGTCTATTTCAAGGGATTTAAAACAGTATGAAGAGAAACCCAAACCCAACTTAGAAGAAACAGAAATCATCAATATTGGCACTAAGACGGAGGTTAAAGAAGTTAAAGTCAGCATTCATTTGAATAGGAAACAAAAGGAGGAAATGATCGAATTCTTAATGTTTTTTCAAGATATGTTTGCATGGTCATACGATGATATGCCAGGGATCTCTACAGGCATAGTGGTTCACAGGTTGCCAACCGATCCAAATTTTTTACCTGTAAAGCAGAAGCCACGTAAATTCAAACCAGAAATGAGTCTCAAAATAAAGGAACAAATTGTGAAGCAGCTCAATGCTAAGATAATCATGGTGTCTCATTATCCCATCTGGTTATCGAATCCTGTGCCAGTGCCTAAGAAATCTGGGGAGGTGCGAGTATGTGTTGATTACAGAGATCTGAATAAGGCCAGTCCGAAAGATGATTTTCCTTTACCAAACATTCATATTCTTTTGGACAATACTGCTGGACACGAAATTGAATCTTTTGGTGATTGTTTTGCTGGATATCATCAAATTTTGATGGCAGAAGAAGACAGAGAGAAAACCTCTTTTATCACCCCATGGGGAACCTTTTGTTATAGAGTGATGCCTTTCGGGTTGAAGAACGCTGGAGCCACCTATCAGAGGACCATGACTACCCTGTTCCATGACATGATTCACAAAGAGATGGAGGTCTATGTGGATGATATCATAATTAAATCCAAGAAGGTTGAGGACCATTTGGTTGATTTAAAGAAGCTGTTTGAAAGATTGAGGAAGTATAATTTGAAGTTGAACCCTGCGAATGTGCTTTTGGAGCTCCGGCTGGTAAGTTATTGGGTTTTATTGTCAGCAAAAAGGGTATAGAGATAGATCCTGCGAAAATAAAAGCAATTCGAGATATGCCCATTCCAAAAAGTCAAAAAGATGTGAAAAGTTTTCTTGGAAAGATCAATTTCATTGGTCGATTCATTGCACAGTTAACCTCTACCTGTGAGCCTTTATTCAAATTGTTGAAAAAGAATGCGCCAATGGATTGGAATGAAGATTGTCAGCAGGCTTTTGATAAGATCAAGAATTATTTGTTAAATCCTCCGGTCTTAGTGCCATCTCAGCCAGGGAGACCTCTGATTATGTATTTGTCTGTTCTTGATGAGGCTGTCGGATGCGTTCTGGGACAGCATGATGAGTCTGGAAGAAAGGAGCAAGCCATCTACTATCTGAGCAAGAAATTTACAGCATATGAGGCCAACTATTCTTTCCTCGAGAGAAGTTGTTGTGCTTTAGCATGGGCAGCTCAGAAGTTGAGACATTATTTGCTCGGTTATACCACTTACTTGATTTCCCGTTCTGATCCTCTAAAATACCTATTGGAAAATTCGATGCCCACGGGACGTATGGCTAAGTGGCAAATGATCCTTTCCGAGTTCGATATTGTCTTAACAACACAAAAGGCAGTCAAGGGTCAAGCCATAGCAGATCATTTGGCAGAAAATTCAAGAGATAATGATTACCAGCCGTTGCATACCTACTTTCCTGATGAAGAAATTCTGTTCATTGGAGCAGTTGAGGACATGAGTGAGCAGTATCCTGGATGGAGGTTATTTTTCGATGGTGCGTCAAACTCTTTTGGAGCTGGAATTGGAGCAGTTTTAGTGTCGCCTGAAGGGAAACATTATCCTGCTACAGCCAAATTACGATTTCCTTGTACCAACAACATGGCTGAGTATGAAGCTTGTATTTTTGGATTGAAAATGGCATTGGACATGGAGATCAAGGACCTGATAGCATTCAGTGATTCTGATTTACTTGTGCACCAGACGCTTAAACAGTGGGTAACTCGGGATTCAAAAATTATGTTGTATCATTGTAACTTGCTTAGTTTGGCCAGCAAATTCAGGAATTTGGAACTCAGACATATTCCCCGCACTCGTAATGCATTTGCTGATACTTTAGCTACTCTGTCTTCGATGATCCAACATCCAGATGAGCTGGTGATTGAACCTATACAGATCCAACTTCAGAATAGGCCAGCGCATTGTCTGGTTACAGAAAGGGTCACGGATGGTCGCTCCTGGTACAAGGATATTAAGGAATTCATGAAAACGGGATCCTACCCTCCTGATACTGATTCTGTTGCAAAATATTTCTTACGCAGAATGTCATCAAGATTCTTCTTGAATGGAGAAGTGCTATACAAGAAAACATCTGATTTGGGCCTTCTGAGATGCATCAATGAAGAGGAAGCCGATTATATGATGAAAGAAGTGCATAGTGGGGTTTGTGGGCCACACATGAATGGGCATCTACTGGCTAAGAAAATCATGAGAACAGGATATTTTTGGCTTACCATGGAGCATGACTGTGTAGATTTCGTTAGAAAGTGTGTTAAGTGTCAAATGCATGGTGATGTTATACGTGCTCCTCCTACAGAATTGCATAGTATGACTGCTCCATGACCATGTTCGATTTGGGGAATGGATGTGATCGGAACTATTGATCCTCCTGCTTCAAATGGGCATCGATTCATTTTAGTGGCGATTGAATATTTCACCAAATAGGTTGAGACCGCGTCCTATAAGCATGTTACTAAGAAAGTGGTGTCGGATTTCTTGAGAAATAATATCATCTGTCATTTTGGGGTACCAGAGACGCTGATCACTGATAATGCCAAAAACCTCAACAATGATATGGTGGATGGATTATGTGAACAGTTCAAGATCAGACATCGAAATTCTGCTATTTATAGGTCTCAAATGAATGGAGCCGTTGAAGCTGCAAATAAAAATTTGAAAAAGATTATCCGTAAGATAACTGAAGCACACCGGGATTGGCATGAGAAGCTGCCTTATGCACTAATGGCATACAGAACTACCATCAGAACTTCTACTGGTGCAACTCCCTACTCTCTTATGTATGGAATGGAAGCAGTACTACCTGCAGAAGTTGAAATTCCTTCCTTGCACATTCTGATGGAAGCTCAGATAGAAGAAGTTGAATGGATCAGAGAACGTCAAGAGCAGTTGTTTCTGATTGATGAAAAGAGGTTGAATGCCGTGTGTCATGGACAATGTTATCAGCAACGAATGGCTTGGGCTTACAACAAAAAAGTCAAACCCCGCTTATTTGAAGTTGGAGATAAGGTTTTGAAACGGATTCTTCCAATGCAAGATGAGGCTAAAGGGAAGTTTGCTCCCAATTGGCAAGGACCATTCATTATTAAAAAGGTGCTATCCGGAGGAGCGCTTATTCTTATGGAAATGGACGGTCAAGTTTTTCCCCAACCAATCAATGCAGACATGTGCAAAAAGTTTTTTATTTGAAAAAAAAAAAATACTGCAAGAGGCGGATTTCAGGCATATTTCCTCTCATTTTTCCATTTCGATATTCTATCCCTAATTTTTCTTCTTTCCTTTTGACTTTTCATAACCATTTTCTTTTTCGCTTGGCTGTTCTTTAAGATCACTAACCCCATACTGGGGCAATTTGTTTTCAAAAAAAAAAAATCGAAAAAAAAGAAAATAGAGATTCTGTCAGAATTAAACTGGGGCAAATTTTTATCTCTCTCTCACCCTAGATTGGGGTAAGTTTTGAAAGAATGCTATCTCAAAGGATTGCAAACTCATCATATGATCCGCTGTCAAGCCTTTCAAGCCTTAACCTTTCCTTTGCTACTCTATCCGATCCTAATCGCAAGAACCAAAATTGCCAAATTTCATCTTTTGCAGTATTTGAAAAAAAAATTTTAATCAACTAGCAAATGATGTTAATACAAACTTTTCTGAAACATGTCAGAGAAGATTGTCTCACTGATGCTACTCATTATCAAAGTATGACTGCATTGATATAGTTGGGGTTAAAATTGCCTTGTCTATGTCTCTAGGTGAAAACCTGAAAGGGCACCTTCTAAAAAAAACAAAAAAAAACAAAAAAAAGAAGAAGAAAAAAAAAACAAAAAAAAACAAAAAACAAAAAAAAATGAAAAGGGTAGGAGTAACCTTAGTGAAAACCCGAAAGGGCGCTGAGGTAGGGGTTTGGAATACAAGAGGATTAACAACAAAGAAGAAGATGCTGAGGTCTGAAAGCTGGTGACTATGTTGATTTGGGTCTCTTTCATACTGTTGTTCTTTTGCCGACAATGAATTCCAAAATAGATGACGTCGAAGGGGTCAGTTGGAGCATTTTTTCTCATCAAAGGCCGTCCTCTAAATATGAACCCAACTTTTGATCATGGGACCTATATTCAAAAAAAAAAAAAAACAAAAGCAAAAATCACTAATTTTGTTTTACTATTCTATTTGCTATTTCATTTGTTTATTGTGTATCATTGTTTATTTCATATTAGCATTATTGCATGATGAATACTACCTTTTGCAATTGTTTATGTTCCCCATTTACTGAGTCTCATTCAAAAGACAATCCCCTATAATTTATCCCAAAGGGGTCCTGAGATTGAGGATCTTATGGTAACAAAGTCTAGATGACTGACATTTGACGGTTACAAAGATTCTGAAGAGGTTGTCGACCGGACCTAAAGAAGCAGTTTGTCGATATTAAAACTCATGTTTACATGGCTCTCAAGGCAAAGGGATCACATGGTGGTGGCAATCTTTTCATCATAGTCGCTTCTTTTCTTTTTTTTTCCCTTTTACAGGAAAGATTACGTGACAGACTACTGGCTTAGTTGAGCATGATTCACACTGGGGCAAATGGCAAGTTTCGATGTACATTCCCAAAGAAAGAAACAGAAATCATTATTCCCTTTCTTTTAAAGTTAAAAAAAAATCATCAATCAAGAAAATTGTAAGTCCACCAAGTAAGTTTGTCTTGATTTATTACTACTTGAGCAACATGCATTTTAATCTTTCAGTTTGATGGTATTGAACTTGCATTTTCATTTCTTTCAGTGTTTAATTGGGCTTGGGTCAATCCCACCAATCTGTTTAGAAAAAAAAAAAAAAATCAAATCAGAATGACATTTTAAATTTCTGTTGGTGAGTCTCAGCGTCCACCGCGCACCCTCCTATCTCCCCTTCTTGACAATTTAATTTCCTGTTGGAGCGTAATCGCGTCCCTCCGCTCATCTTTTCCTAAAAGACAAATTTAATTTTCTGTTGGTGAGTCTCAGCGTCCACCGCGCACCCTTCTACCTCCCATTCTTGACAATTTAAATTCCTGTTGGTGAGTCTCAGCGTCCACCGCGCACCCTTCTATCTCCCCTTCTTGACAATTTAATTTCCTATTGGAGCGTAATCGCGTCCCTCCGCGCATCCTTTTCTAAAAGACAAATTTAATTTTCTGTTGGAGCGTAACCGCGTCCCTCCGCGCATCTTTTTCTAGTTATGACAAGTTACTTTTCTTGACTTTTTGGCTAATAATTGTGCTTTCTCATTCATTTTGTGTTTCATGTTTAGAAGTTCTGAGAGCTCAGACTTTTTCGACTTTGCAAAGACCACAGTTGGTCAATGCACTTGTTTCATTGTGGCTCACTTGCATTCGAACTACGTTTGACCTTATTCCCATAGTGGGATACGTAGGCAACTCTACATGGGTTCGGTCACATTTTCTGCAATATTATTGCATCATTTTGTCCAATAATTTCAGCCAAGCGTTGGCTTGTTTATTTTGGCTCAGGTACAGCTAGAAGAGACAGGTAAACAATTTTTTGTGTCTACGTCTTTGTCTTGAGTTTCTTTGAAACTCTAGACAAAGAGAAACAAGTTGTAGACACCAAATTTTTGTCAATTTTTAATGTTTTCCTGAATTTTTATCTATTTAATAAGTTATCTATTATTATTATTATTATTATTATTATTAATGTGTAATTTTCTCATTTTTGCAGGTTTATTTTAGAAAAGAAAAAGAGAAAAAAAAACAACAAAACAAAAAAAAGAAGAAAGAGAAAAGTTAAAAAAAAATCAAAAAAAAATCAAAATCAAATTATTACTAAACTTACACATTTTCATCATTTTCTCTACCAAAAACCCCTATTAACCCATTCTACACTCAACTCCCACAGTTTTTTCTTTTCATTTGGCAGAAGCCATCATTTTGGAGGAAACCAAACCCATTTGACTCCTTCTTAGCCATGAGTTTTTTGCTCTGCCAACACTCAACATTTGCAGAGGAGAAAACACGCACAAAAAGCTAATTTGGCGACCCATTTTCCTCACTCGGCTCTCTCTGGAAAAATCAGACAGGCCATAAAGAAAAAAATTCTCCACTCTTCCTCCCCCCAAAAATACATCCCTCGGCTCTCTCTAGTTTCAGGAGACCAAAAAGACAAGCCACAAAAAGAAGAAAAAGCACTCCAATCCCTCTGGACTCACTTGGCAGAGGCGGAAAAAAAAAAAGAAACGCACGAGAGAAGAGGAAGGGAAGCTCTCGGAATTTTGCAGCCTGACCCCTCACTCTCCCTCTCTCGGACTTGGGCGGAGGAAACAAACAGAACAGAGGAAAAAAAATCTTCCCCAACTCCTCTCGGTTCCATCTCAATCTCACACACACCTACATTGAGGTATTTTTTTTAGTTTTTGTCTAGCACATTAAATCAATGCTTCATTGTTTAGTTTTCTTTCATTTCTACTGGCTGCCTCGTATTGTTGTTGTTGCATTGCTGAAAATTGGGAAATGGCATGAGCTAGATGAAGGAAAAGGAAATGATGTCTGTGAATGCATATTAATTGTTTGAAAAAATGCCAAAAAGATTTTTAGGGACTGTTTTGCCTTAATGTAGTCTTTTGTTATTGTTTTCTGGTTAGTTAAAATCATAGTTGTATTGTAGAGGTTATAAGGAGTATTGTAATATATTTTTTATGATTTTTGGTGAAAGATTTGGGTGTTTTAAAAAATAAAAGCTGGACTGATTTCTTGTCATTTTAGTCACTTTCGAGTCCTTTTTTGTTAAAACTAAGCCCAAAAATGAAACCTACGCGAAAAATCGAGTGAGGGGGTGTATTTTGAGGATTTTTGGTGACCGGAGAGGTCACCGGCGGTGGCGGTCGGCGGCGGCGGCCGGCGGCGGCGGCGCCACCGGCAACCACCATGGCCGCCAGCTGAAGCTGAAGCTTCAGCTTGCCTGGGAAGAAGAAGAGACGGAACGAACGGGAAAGAAAGAAAAGAAAGAAGAAGAAGAGAAAAAAAAAAAGAAAAGAAAGAAAATGGTTTGGGCTAATCTTTTTTCTTCAGTTGGGCCAAGAGTTAGTTTTGGTTGGGTTTTGGAAATTGGCTTTGGTTTATTTTTTTCTTTTGGGTTTCGGATGGGCTAGGAGGCTGGAGCCCATGTATTTCTGGGTCGGGTTTGAGTGATAAAATGACGGGCTGGCCTGCTCGTTTCTCTGGATTTTCGGTTGGGCTTAGGTAGTATCCGGCCCAAATAAATAAAAACAACGGCCCGATGGCCTTTCTTCTCCCAAATCAGAAACCGAATTTTGCATTTTGGCCCCTGATCTTTGGAGTAGTTTCACTGTGGCCCAGAACATTTTAAATTTCATTCATGTAGGTCCTTAAATTAATTGCACTTTGGTCCTTGAATTTTATCTTTCATTTAATTTTGACCCCTGAACTTTGGAAAAATATAATTTCTGTCCCCAAAAGTTTTCAATTTTTGCAATTCAGTCCCTGATGAATTTTGACTCTCTTTATTATGATTGTTTCTTTTCTTTAATAGCTAATTATGTTACTTTTGAATATACTTAACTTGTAATTTTTAGATTTGCTTAAATTTCTTTACGTCTGGCATATTAGTGTGAATTTAGTGCTTGTATTATTATTTTCTTTTTCAATTAAATTGGTGCCATGATCCTTTTGTTCATTGTGAGTATAATTAGGACAATTTGACTCCATTTAGTCACCACTTCAAAAGGGAGGTACTCCTATTTTATTATTTCAATGACAATTACGTGCTCTTATGTGCTTCTATGTGTTCCTATGTGTTTATATATCTTTATATGCTTTATTTATTTGATTTAAATAGTCATTCAAATTTTCTTATATATATTTTAGTTAGTTTTTATAATGATTCGAGAGGTATTTAAATACCTCAAAAATGTAATAGATAGGATAATTAGATTTGTTTTATTATATTTTTCCCTCCTAGATTGTAGTTAGGCGCTCCCCGATGTAATAGATAGGTTGCGTGTTTATGTGGCTTATGTGTTAAGTGTTTTATCCGCTTTTCTTAGGATTTTGGCATCTAGATATTATGCTTACGTGTTATGTGTTACGTGCTCTTATGTGTTTATTTGTTTTAATTTATGCTTTATCTGCTTCACTATGAATTGTTAATGCATAACGTCACCACACTAGTCCGACGCTAGTTGTG